ACAATTTAGATCATGTCAATTCTTTGCCTAAAACCTCTGACTTAGAGTCAAAGTCCTTGCAATGGCTTTCCAGTCTCTGTAGAAACCTAGCTGCTGTTTTCTCCCTGGACTAACCTTGAACTTCTCCCTCTCACCCATTCCAGGCACACTGGTTCCTTGTTCTCCTGGACAAGCTTCTGCCTTAGGACCTTTGCACTGGTTAGTTTTTCTGCCTGGAATGCTTCTTCCCTGGATAGCTATATGGTTCACTTTCCTATTGTTTTGTTTTGGAAAAAATAGGTATATTTCCACTACCTACTGTTATGTGTCTGTCTGTGTGCCAAGTGCTATGGATACAGTGACAGAAAAGCTATACAGTTCTTACCCTTGTGGAGCTTTTGCTTAATGGGGGAGACAGATACTAACCAAATAATCACACAAGCATGCATAAGTGGAGTTCAGATGAGTGCTGTAAAAGAGAGATACTCCTGCAATCAGAGCTTCAAGGAAGACTTCTCCAAGGAGATGATACTTGAGCAGGAAAGATGGAGAGACATGGTTCTCTTGGTGTGCTGATTGGTACAGATATGGGCATGTGACTCTTGCTGGGCCAATGACCGCTGCCAGGCCTCCATGCCCCGGGGATTTTCTAACAGGATGTGGGAGAAAGTGATCCTTTTTCTGATAGGCAGCTGAGCCTTTGGCTGTGACCCAGAGGGGCTGGTGGCTACATCTCTGTGGTGGGAAAGATGATTCCTTTCCTGCTGATAGAATCAAGACCACATTCGAAATAACTTAGATGGGCTGGATGGAGAGCTCCGACAGCTGGGGAGGCCGCTGGTCCAGTGTCCCCAAATACAGCTCTCTCTCTAGGTTATAGGAGCCATTAAGCTAGTGGGGCAGGAGGAGAAGGGGACAACAGAAGATGAGACGGCTGGATGGTATCCCCGACTCGATGGACATGAGGTTGAGCAAACTCTGGCAGTTGGTGATGGACAGGGAGCCCTGGCGTGCTGCAGTCCATGGGGTCGCAAAGAGTTGGACACAACTGAGTGACTGAACTGAAGCTAGTGGGGCATTTTTAGCAAGTTCAGTTTAGGGATTTCTGTCCCTTGAGATGTGGGCATCCTGACAAATCCTTTTCTCTCCCTAAGAGGAACAGAGGGAGAGGCTCTGGGAGGAAGAGCCCAGCTTGACAAGATCCAGGACTTCCTTCAGGTTCTCTCCTCCTACTCAGCATCTGGGGTCTCTTCCTTACCAGGGCTGGGCCAGGAGGGAGGAGGGTGATGGCTTCTGGGGGATTTGAGGAAAACCCTCACAATGAACATGGACAGAGCTGAACCAGGCAAGGCCTCAGTTGCTTTTTCAAGAGGTCTCACCTTTTCTAAAAGGGGCAGTTAAGGTCCAGAGAAAAAAACTCTCTGAGCCCAAGACTAAATCTTATCACATCATCTGTGGGTACCGACCTGTAGCGAACAAATGAACTTCCCTGAGCCTATAGCTTGGCCTCAAGCCCACAGTGTGCCCTTCAATCCGCCTTCAACAAAACTTCCATTGCCTACACTCTGATGGGAAAAGGTTAAATAACTCCATGTCTGAATTTCACTCTAGATTTCCTCTGGGTCAAGGAGAACCTAATTACAAAAATGTCCCATGTTTCACTAGACACGGAAAGACATTAGAGGAAACCAAGACAATGGAGAAGTCTTTCCAAATAATCTATTTAAAAAAAATTAGGGGTGGAGTTGCAATGAACATATTAACTTCCTTTTAAAATGGAGCTGAATTTCAAAAGGAGAAAGGAGAACTGAGCCAGTCAATTTTAGCAGAAGCTAAAGGAATCTGAAAGCAACATGAATGTTACGGATGCCATTTACAACAGGAAGTGGAGAGAAGTCTAAAAACCAACAACAATTAATACTAGAGAAGTCACTTTTTAAAAATATGCAAGTATTTGAAACAAGAATATTTTGTCTTGTATTTCCAAAAAAAATACTTATCACAAAACATTTCCTTTTTCTTTCTTATCTCTTACTGTAGACCCTTCCTGGTATAAAATGTAAGAAGCTCTTAGGGTAAAAACCAAGTCTTTCTTTTTTTCCTCAGGTCATTAGTTCCTCTCCTTAGAGACAGTTTCTCATGAATCCTTGCAGAGGGATTTTATACAGACAAGTGACTACGTAAATCCGAGCACCTATGATTCCACACAGCTTCCTGCTATGCACACCCTTCTGTCTCTAACTCTTAGTACTTACTGTATTTTGAATATGCCTTCATATAAGTGCACAGTAAAGCTGCCTCATTCTTCTCATAAGTCCCAGAACATTCCACTGGGTAGAGGTAGATGTGCCTAACCAGCTTCCCAATTAATGGATTATTTCCATTATCAATGCTTTCCTGAGTGTTCAAAAGGTGATACACATATTTTTCAGTCTGTGTGCCAGGCTCTCTGTAGAGTAAATGAAGGATGTCTTCCCTTTAATTTTCGTTTTGTCCTTTTCTGGATCTGCAATACACTCTTTCTCTTAGTCCAGAGAGAGTGTAATAATTAGAAGCAGATCATAGAACAAGTGATGAGCAAAGTCAGAATTGGGGCTTCCCAGGTGGCGCTAGCGGTAAAGAACCTGCCTGCCAATTCCAAGAGATCCAAGGGATGGGGGTTGGATCTCTGGGTCAGGAAGATCCCCTGGAGAAGGGAATGGCAACCCACTCCAGTATTCTTGCCTGGAGAATTCCACCAATGGAGGAGCCTGGTGGGCTACAGTCCGTGGGTTTACAAAGAGTTGGACAAGACTGAAGCGACTTAGCACGCAGCACGCACACAGAGTTAGAATTAGAACTCAGCCATTGGATCTCCTCGTCCACCCAGTATGGCCCCGCCCACCTCCACGTGCCGCCCCCGCTCCATCACTGGCTCTCCAGAGAAGCAGGTAACAGATGCTGAGCTGGGGACGGTGCAGGAGTGGGGCTGGGGTGGAGGGTGATTGCACTTCAAGCTATTGATAAGACAGGGCACCAAGGGTGTTCAGGACCTGGGGAAGGAGAGGCCGAAGGTGCAGGGCCCAGAAAATGAACTTAGTGAAAACCAAAGGCAGCTATCCAGTTTTCTCTTTTTCTATTGTAATAGAACTTCTAGCTGGGTTTATAGACATGGGAGGAAGGGGAGGAGGGGATGAAATGGGAGATTTGCTGTTGTTGTTCAGTGGCTAAGTCGTGCCCAACTCTTTGCAACCCCATGAACTGCAGCAAACCAGGCTTCTCTGTCCTCCACTAGCTCCCAGTCCATTCATGTCCATCGAGTCAGTGATGCTATCTAACCATCTCATCCTCTGCCACCCTCTTCTCCTTTTGCCATCAATCTTCCTCAGCACGTGTGAAATAGATAGTTAATGGGAAGCTGCTTTGTAGCACACGGAGCTCAGCTTGGTGCTCTGACAGCCCCACCTAGAGGGGTGGGATGGAGGTGGGTGGGGGAGATCCAAGAGGAAGGAGACACATCGAAACATATAGCTGACTCACTTTGTTGTACAGCAGAAACTAACACAAGATTGTAAATCAAATCTACCCCAATTTAAAAAAAGAAAGCAACTAGTGTGCAAAAGCTGGGGACGTTTTAAGTTTCTTTGTGCAGCTGCATTGAAACTTACCTGATGCCAAAGGCTGGCATGGTTGAGTGTGTTGAGATTTTATGATTCTGAGAATGGATTTGTCCTGGGCTACCTGAGCTCCGTTTGCTAGATCACCTGTCAGCCTTGGTCAGGGTGTAAATGGAGCCATGAGAGTGCTGTGGGCGGGCCCAAGGAGTCAGGACCCCCGGGTCCTCAGTTGTCTCTGCTGTTGCCTATACGTTGCATGAATTTATGCAAAGAATTCCCTTTCCCTGGGTCTCAGTTTCCTTATATCCAGAAAATGAGAAGTTTGAATCAGAAAATTTCTTTTTTTTTTCCATTTATTTCTATTAGTTGGAGGCTAATTACTTTACAACATTGTAGTGGTTTTTGCCATACATTGACATGAATCAGCCATGGATTTACATGTGTTCCCCATCCCGATCCCCCCTCCTGCCTCCCTCTCCATCCCATCCCTCTGGGTCTTCCCAGTGCACCAGCCCTGAGCACTTGTCTCATGCATCCAACCTGGGCTGGTGATCTGTTTCACCCTTGATAGTATACTTGTTTCAATGCTGTTCTCTCTGAACATCCCACCCTCGCCTTCTCCCACAGAGTCCCAAAGTCTGTTCTGTACATCTGTGTCTCTTTTTCTGTTTTGCATATAGGGTTATCGTTACTATCTTTCTGAATTCCATATATGTGCGTTAGTATACTGTATTGGTCTTTATCTTTCTGGCTTACTTCACTCTGTATAATGGGCTTCAGTTTCATCCATCTCATTGGAACTGATTCAAATGAATTCTTTTTAATGGCTGAGTAATATTCCATAGTGTATATGTACCACAGCTTCCTTATCCATTCGTCTGCTGATGGGCATCTAGGTTGCTTCCATGTCCTGGCTATTATAAACAGTGCTGTGATGAACACTGAGGTGCACGTGTCTCTTTCAGATCTGGTTTCCTCGGTGTGTATGCCCAGGAGTGGGATTGCTGTGTCATATGGCAGTTCTATTTCCAGTTTTTAAAGAAATCTCCACACTGTTCTCCATAGTGGCTGTACTAGTTTGCATTCCCACCAACAGTGTAAGAGGGTTCCCTTTTCTCCACACCCTCTCCAGCATTTATTGCTTATAGACTTTCGGTTAGCAGCCATTCTGACTGGTGTGTAATGTACCTCACTGAGGTTTTGTGAATCAGAAAATTTCTAAAAGTCCCTTCCAACTGTGATGCTCAGAGCTCCGGGCCAGATGTTTGACTGGATCTCCCTCTCTTTTCAGCTCTCTCCTCTGAACTCCTCATGGCATTTCAGTGGTCCCACCCATAAACCATTGTCAAATTTCACCTTTCATCTCTCTTCTCCTTGAAGTCCTCTGAGGTCAGACTCTCGGGCTTCTTCCTGTCATGCCCTTGTCTAGCTTCTAGAATAGCGCATTGGGTATGATGTGTGCTCATACACCTTGTCAAATAGATGACTCTTGGGTACAGACATGTTCTGGTTCAAGATAGAATGGAGACCAAAGTGTAGACAAAGTTCTGACCATGAAGGAAACACTCTGTAGGGCTCTCCTGTGGTTGGTCTGACAGCACTGCCTCCAACGACAGATGGGTTCCTGGGGGTCCTTGTGTAAAGAAAGTGTTTGGGGAGATTTAGGAGTTTGGTGGCTGACTTTATTTTTCTGGGCTCCAAAATCACTGTAGATGGTGACTGCAGCAATGAAACTAAAAGACGCTTACTCCTTGGAAGGAAAGTTACGACCAACCTAGACAGCGTGTTAAAAAGCAGAGACATTACTTTGCCAACAAAGGTCTGTCTAGTCAAGGCTATGGTTTTTCCAGTGGTCATGTATGGATGTGAGAGTTGGACTGTGAAGAAAGCTTAGTGCCGAAGAATTGATGGTTTTGAACTGTGGTGTTGGAGAAGACTCTTGAGAGTCCCTTGGACTGCAAGGAGATCCAACCAGTCCAACCTAAAGGGGATCAGTCCTGGGTGTTCATTGGAAGGACTGATGTTGAAGCTGAAACTCCAGTACTTTGGCCACCTGATACAAAGAGCTGACTCGTTGGAAAAGAGCCTGATGCTGGGAAAGACTGAGGGCAGGAGGAGAAGGGGATGACAGAGGATGAGATGGTTGGATGGTATCACCGACTTAATGGACATGGGTTTGGGTGGACTCCAGGAGTTGGTAATGGACAGGGAGGCCTGGCATGCTGCGGTTCATGCGGTTCTTGGGGTTGCAAGGAGTTGGACATGACTGAGTGACTGAACTGAACTGAACTGAGGAGTTTGGTATTAACAGATACACACTCAGTTCAGTTCAGTCGCTCAGTCATGTCCAACTCTTTGCAACCCTATGGACTGTAGCCCACCTGGTTCCTCTGTTCCTAGGATTCTCCAGGCAAGAATACTGGAGCAAGTTTCCATGCCCTCCTCCAGGGGATCTTCCCAACCCAGGGATCAAACCTGTGTCTCTTGAGTCTCCTGCCTTGGCAGGTGGATTCATTACCACTAGCACCACAATTTTTTAAAAGTTTTTTTTTCTTAGAGAAAAGAAAGAGTGTATGGCATTCAGGTCAGATGGGCCACTCTGTCCCTGTGCCATCTGCTGGCCTTTGATGAACTTCTTTACACATTAGTGCAAGGAACTTTCTCCTGGGGGAATGTCAATACCTGCTTTCCAGGTTGCTGCCTTGATGACGAGGCTGATGTCAAGCTTTTATTGCAGCCCCTGGCACATGACAGGAAAGTCCATTTTCTTTCTTCCTATCTCCCAAAGCATCCTTGCAACATCTTGTTGGGGGAGAAAAAGGACCCGGAGGCAAAGCCCAGAGCTGCTTGCTTTCTCCTGGGGAGGGCTGTGCTGTGCGTAGTTGCTCAGTCGTGTCTGACTCTTTGCAACCCTGAGGACTGTAGCCCGCCAGGCTCCTCTGTCCATGGTGATCCTCCAGGCAAGAATGCTGGAGTGGGTTGCCATGCCCTCCTCCAGGGGATCTTCCCAACCCAGGGATCGAGCCCAGGTCTCCCGCACTGCAGGCGAATTCTTTACAGAAACTGAGAACCACCAGGGAAGGGGAGAGTTAGGGTCACGAGTAATCCCTAGAAGGAAACTTTCTGATGCTCCTTTGGCTTGCACCTCAACTGGACCTTTTGGAGTTCCCTCTCACACCATGATCTCATGCTTCAACACACCGGCAGACAAAACAAGCTGCATTTCAGATGATCTGGCTGATAGATCACAGATATGAAGTTCACTCTGGGTCATCTACTTCCTCCTGTTAGATTACCTGCCTTTCTGTCACTGGCATGGGCATGTGTGGAACCAGCCAGATGCACGAGCCAGGAGCAAGTAGCATCCAGGGTCAGGAGATCACATACCTGGCTCCTCTGCTTACAGCCCCTGAGGCAGGGGTCTACACCAGGAATCCTGGGTCCCTGATCAAGCCTGGAGAGTGAGACCAGCCACCCCGGGGATGGGGTGGGTGCCAGGGGAGGGACTTCAGAGGGGAGAATGAATTACCATTTCTCAGTTTCTGTATGGCTCTGAAGTATCAATAGAGCCCCACACACCTAGGGTCTGATATCTAGCTGGCTGTTTACCAGCTGTGTGGTGTGGCCAAGTCCCATAACCTCTCTGAGCTGTTTCCTTCTCTGTAAATGGGGGTGAAAGCAGTCACGTGGCAGGGTTTTTGTAAAGATGAATGAAATAACATGCACCCTGGCCTGTCCCACGAGGTACTGTTCTTACAGCTGTGTTTCCTCCTTCCAGCTATTCAGAGAGAGAGCTTTTATCATCCCATTTCAGAGGTGAGAAAATAAAGGCTCCGTCCTATACAGCACATGGAACTCTGCTGAACGTTATGTGGCAGCGTGGATGGGAGAGGCTGTTTGGGAGAGAATGGGCACACGTGTGTATGTATGGCTGAGTTCCTTCATTGTTCACCAGAAACTACTACAACGTTAATTGACTATACCCCAGTACAAAAAAAAAGTTCCAAAAAAAAAAAAAGAAAGGCTCAGGAAATGTGTCTTGCCTACAGCCACACAACTGGACCATTTTCCCAGATCTTTCATGCCTCGCCCCACAACCCCACCCCAGTTCATTGTGGTTCCACTCTGTTCCTGCGGAAACCGGCAGAGAGCAGGGGGCCCGGGATCCGCGGTCCACACCCACCTTCTCCTGCCACAGCCCTGCTTCCCTCAGAGCTGCACCCACGCAGGGTTTCCCTGCTCCACCCTGTTGCTAATTTCAGTGGCATCCCTGCTCCACTTGTTGCTAATTTCAGTTTCTGCGGCTGGGCCCTCCCCTGATTCACCTTCCTGTGAAGTCCTCCTCCGGCCCCTACCTCCCAGCAAGGGCCAAAGGCGGGGAGATACCATTGAATTCCCCCCCTGGAGTGGGAGTTCTTTGCTGAGGCCTTCTGTCTTTCCTTTCCAGTCCTTTCTTCCTTCTTATCGTCATCCCTCCCACCTAAGAGCTTTGTGGCCATCACTTTCTCTTAGTGGGGAGACTAAAACGAGAAGGAACAGGGTGGGTGAGCAACTTCCCTCAGGTTTACACAGTGGGAAGGTCTCTGCAAGCTGCCGTAAGCAGAAGATGACAGAATAGGATAAAGGCCCCGATCCTGGAGGGCTCCCACTCATCTTTGCTCTGTGCCTGTCACAATCTCTCTCTGTGGCTGGGGAAATGCCCACTTTGGTTTGGCAGGAGGGTTTGGATCTTTCTGGGCATCTACACTTTCTTCCGCGCCCCTTCCCCTCTCCTCCTCAAGGCCCACAGGTCGTCAGTCTAGTCCACCACAGGGAAATTCCAGGCCCTTCCTCTGGGTCTCCGGCCCTCTCTGAACCATGCTAGGGGCTGTCATCTGCACGATGGGCCACCATTACCCTGCGCCGTCAGCTGCATCACCACCCTCATTCTAGAATGAAGGTGCTGATGTTCGGAGACATCTAGTGACCTGCCGATGGTCACACCGTGGGTAAGGCAGACAGCCCAGCTCTGAACTCAGGTCTTTAGCTCCCAAACCCAGGGCTCTCTCGTCTTCAGCCGACACCAGGTGGAGGGCGCCAGGCTTTCTTCCACTCTCCCGAGGAGTGCCTTTTCTGGAGAAGAACACGAGCTCCTTCACTGACGTACATGGAGCACTGACCTTGCACTTGGCTCGGCTCGAGCTCCTTTATTCCCCATGACCCCCTATGTAGTGGGTACCGCTACTCTATGTGGTTTACAGCCAGGGAAACTGAGGCTCAGACAGATGGGCCCACAGTCCAAATGAACATAACTAGCAGTTGGCAGACGTGAGAACTCGAACCCAAGACTGACAGCCCCAGTCCTTAAGCATGGTGCTGACACTGACATCAGTCGCTCAGTCGTGTCCACCTCTTTGTGACCCCATGGACTGTGGCCCAGCAACCTCCTCTGTTGATAGAATTCTCCAGGCAGAGTTCCGGCCCTGGGCTCGGGGTAGGGGCTCAGCCAACTCGAGTTCCTTTCTTCTCTTTCTAGGCTTCAGCGAGGGTTCATTGACCTCAGACCACGAAAGAAGGATCTTCAGTGAAAGTGGAGAGGATGTTCTGCTGACGTTGGAGCCGGTTTCTCCCCAGCGCCAGGCAGCTTGCTCTTTTCATCCTCCTGGACCTTGCTCCCAGGGGGCGGTGGGAGATCCTGTGCCCCGGGTCTCCCTCTCCGTTTCCCAGCCTGAATTGTAATCTCCTCGCCTCCTTGGCCACCCTGGCGTCTTCTTTGAACCTCCCACCGTGGAAAGACCCTTCTGCCTAAACTCCTATCTGCTTCCTGTGGTTAGTATCGGGGCAGGTTCTCTGATGGGAACATTACCTGAGTCACGGTCCCCTCCCCAGGGCCCACTGACTCAGCATTGTGCTTCCCTTCCTGTCTCCATCCCCACCAAGGTGACCTGCTCCCGGCTCTGCTCTGACCACAGACTCCTCCTTCACCAGACGCCTCTGAGAGGAGGCGGGGCCCAACTTCAAGACCCCAGTCCTCCCCCGAGCATCTGCCATGAGCCAGGCCTTGTGCTCAGCATTTTCCTTACATCATCTTATTGGACTCTCAAAGCGTTGCTCTGTGGCCACCATTAGTTAGTGACTGTTTCCTCTTAGAGGTTCAGGGAGGTTGAGGAATTTCCCCCAAATCACATAATCAGGTGGAGCCACTACACAAACCGATGTCCGGCTGACTCCCGATCCCAGGTTCTTAAACACACTGTCCCGCCACAACTAAGCCCCAGTGCAACCAAATAAATAAGTCAATAAGTAAATATTTTAAAAAACACAAAATGCACTGTCCCGTGTGATATTTGCTTCTGAAGCAGAGGGAAAGACAGATAGGAATCCTTCTGCCTGGGAGAATTTGAATGCCTCCTTGCTCACTCAACTTGGGGGGAAAATTTGACTCCTGGACACCCACTTAGAGGCCAGAAATTGCCCTGGGGTTTCCCAAAGGCCAGAGAGGGCCCCCACATGTGGGAGGGAGGAGGTGTGAATCTCCAGGGGCCAGCAGGGTTCTCAATGCCTGGAGTTCTCAGTGGTTTGGGGCAGGGTGGGGAGTGTTCTCAGCTCCTCCGAGGTCTGCGTTTCCTGGACTGGGCTCTTCATTCCCCAGCAGGCCTTCACAGAGGGCCCTGCGCAAACTCACACTCTGCCATCAGGGCCTTTTGGGTATCACAGGAGACAGACATGGCAGCAAGCATCAGCAGGGCTGGCGGCAAGGTCTGGGATGAAAGCAGGAGAGAAGGGACTTAGAGCCTTGAGGAAGGCTCTGGAGAAGGACAGGGACCCACACTCCCCCAGGCCTAGTGTAGTGTGATGGAGGGTGAGAGGGTGCTGGG